CTCTTTTCACCCCGCCCCTCAATCCCCAGCACTCTTGCTAAGAGGCAGAGTTGCTCTTCCTCATTCAGGAGCGGCTCCCTCCGGCTTACCTGGGCTTGAACTGTCGGATCCTTTGTCACTCGCTGGAAAAGAAAGAAAAGTAGGTGGGGAGGTCGGTCCCTTTGCTCGATGGGAAGAGATGGAGAAACTCCGCTCCTTCTGACTCCAGCTCCCTCTCGCCTTCACACACACATGCACAAATACACCCACAGAGTTTCAACCAAGCTGCTTTAGCTGAGAGACATAGGAAAGAATTCTTAACATACATACATACATACATACATCCACACAGAGCAACATTCCAGGAATTCTACAGCCACAGGGTGCAGCTGAGGTGAGGATACAGATGGCTCCAAAGTTTCTTTCTCCAGTCAGTTCATACTTAGAGAGCCTTGTAATGGGAGAACAAGAGGAGATCCAGCTGGCATCTACCAAAGCTCCTTTTCTCCTAAATCCCTTCTTTGTTCACTACTTTTACGGAGCTTCCTGACCAGATTATGGCTAAGCCTTTCCTTTCCGCATACTTGGAAAACAGAACAGCTTCTCCATCAGATGGATCTTCCACCCAGCCAGGTCTTCTCACCTTCTTGAGACTTCCTTGTACCAGATATTTCTCCTTGTGGTCTCCACTCCCAGGAACAGCCTGGCTGTAATGAAAAGGGGACCCACCTCCCCCAGCTTGGTTCTTGGGAGGAAGAGGAAGATAGCACAATTCTGCAGCTTCATGAGCTGCTTTTCTGTTTGGACACACACAAGCACACACACACACCCTTCAACTGATGCTACCTCTGATCCCTGCTCTGAATTGGAGTTAACATGTAAAGAGGACAAATCACTCACTTGATGCTGCCTTGTAGCCTTCTTGACGTTTTTCTGCAAGGACAAAAATCAGTCAAAACTAAAAAGATCAGAGATCATCCAATCTCCTCCTCTGTAGGAGGAAGAGCCCCAGGAGGTCTTTTCACAGTTGTTTAGTCACAACCTCTTCTCACATCTACTATTTAAGGTAGTTAAGACACCTTAACTACCTTAAGAGACACAGGAAGATCTTCAGACTGCAAAGACC